TGGGCATTAGAGCGAACGAGCAACGAGGATACGGAGCAGCCCATCTGGAGCAAAATATCACTGCAAGAAAGAAGAAGACATCAGAAACCCAATTAAATAAGGACCATGGATACGCTCGTATGGAACGAGACACGGCCAGAATAAATAAAAAAGGAGGAAAGAGGCAACTCTTCACCGTGAATTTACTACTCTATCCTACTGATGTAGACGATAGTGAGCGAGTATATGAGGCCATTAATGCGCCGCTTTGTTGACAAAGCAAGGGACAAATGGACGTAGGGGCGTGTGAGACATGAGGATACCAGCACGATTCTTAAGCGCCGGCCCGCCGCGCGATCAAGACGGCGAAGGGTGGCCTGGTAGCGTTACAAAGGGATTGAATCAGCTACTAAAACTCATCCAGAAGAGTACAAATATACCTTATGTAGCATTGTATTCGCAAAGCAGCGAAGCAAGGGCTCGTCGAGCGACTTTGGCGGGCTCTTGGCTTGTTGATAGATAGAGCAATTACCAAGAAACGGGCCACATACCTCGTTGCAAAGGCCCATAGATATAGATTCTCAGTGACAGAAATGGCCGTTCGGGACGTTCTGAACGTCGCAGCTTGCTGCATGTGCAGGCTTGTACCCCGGGAGGCCAATAGAAGCTGAGGCTCCCTGAAGGGGTCGGGCGGCGATCAGCAAGGTTAGGCAGGATGGAACCATAATCACTTACCTGGAAGCGCAGCGAGACCCTCACAAAGTGGGAAGGGATGGCAACCTCCTGTTTGATCCTACCTCGTCGGAAGTATCGTCCCCCTCCGTGAACCAACAGCCGTCTCCTTGCCACATCCAGACCGCGACGTCACGTCGAATCTATGGACATAAGATATTCTGTTCACGACTAATCGGCGGATTGCGCGTCTGGGGATCTGGCGGAGAGTTAGTCTGTCGTCAGGTAGAGAGGAGAGCTACTCACTGAGTGCAGTCCAGGTATCAATTACCGTGAGATCTCCCTCCCTCTGCTCCGTACAGAGCACCACCAGCCATGATGCGTTGTTCGTGAGTGGCATCCAACTTGCCCATAGTATCTGTGAATAACCGCACTAGTCCTCAAGTACTTGCGTTCAAAATGGTGTAGAACGCGTCTGCGTAGAAGCCGTTACGCCGCATCCGGACAACGACGATGGAACAGCTTTTTACAGAACAGCGCGCAGCCCCATAGGTGAGTCCGCTGCATCTTGCGGAGGCGTTGAGAAAGAAGCCAAACTCACATGACGCTGCGCAGCCAACGTACCTGCATCAACCTCATTCGCCGACAGTTTGTCGCGCGCTTTGTGCGCAGTTTTATGCCTATCCCGCTGTATTAGACAGCGTCTTTGGACGCGTGCACGATGGGGTTTGATGAAAGTTGCAACTTGGTTCGTGCCAAGTTCGAGGTTAGATAGAACGGGCCGGCGCCGCCGCAACATCTTCGACCGGACCGAGCCACCAACTCTTCAAGCGCCCAACTCCTTGGTTCGTCCTTCCTTCGTTCTTCAAATGTCTTGGGGCTCAACCTATGTCAACGGAGTCCCTGAGCGCTGTGTGTAGCATCGCCTTACTTCCGCGGAGATCGATGCTTCTCTCAGACATTCTTCGACACTCCCCGCCTGAAGACGGGCCCCTCCTCCTCGACCATCTTATACCGCGCTTTCTACGACATGGGCGGAGACGTGATCATTCAGGTAACGGGATTCTTTGCTGCATGAAGGTCTGTCTTTGACTAGGTCACCGAGAGCTTTCGTCGCTGAATAATTGCAGTGCCATTGGGGAATCGATCGGGATTAGTTATCCCCTGACGATCTCCGACGCGATGCGACGGGTATCCCATGAAACGCGTAGCTCCGACCTTCAACGCTGAGAGGCGAAGACTATCTAGCACAGTCAACCCAAAGGTGTGTCGTTTCTTCGCGGTTACGATTCGAGGACTCAAGTGTAGTGATACAGGATGGTTTGCGTTCAGCGAAGGGTCTGGCGTCGACTTCACTCCCTCTGACATAGTCCAGTCGCTACAAATCTACGACATCGGGGAGCCAGGGCACTCGGGGAGATACACCGTTCTGATAGTACGAGTGTCGTTACGCGGCCTGATCTCACCAAGAACGTGGGCTAGTCGAGGACTGGGAGGCTGAAAATGGCGGCCGGGGGCGGGTTTGGCGAGACGCAGTACGTCGAATGACATCGCTCCAGCATCAATATACTAACTCTCCTCTATAGCACTAGGTGAGCCCGAATGTACCGTGGATGTCTTATGCTCTGGGGCCCATCCTAACCGTCGCGATTTCTAGGCGGAGACACCCACACTAGCGGAGCGACCACCGCTCGCCACGCATGTGGTTGTAGAATACCGTCAAGGGGCCGGGCGCTGGACATGTAGACCTCTGGACGATGATCCAACTTATCAAAGGTACGCTTACCACCTTATTAGACCACCACACCTCAATAACCTTTGATATCCAGCGTAGTTTTGACGCATCGAGATAGCGGAGAATCGAGAAGGACGGTCGCATACTGAGTCAGTAGGGACTCCTCTGAAGGGACACCGGCGTTTCATCGGGGAGAACGGTGGAGGTGTCGTGGTACCGCGATGCTGGCGGGGGGATAACGCGACGGTGGAGCGGCGAACCTCACATGTACTGCATGGGAAGCAGAGAGTCAAACATCACCCGAAAATAGTGCATATGCGTAACACGTGCCAGACGTCGTCAGATGGCCGGCGGTCGGCAAGAGGGATGCGTTCGAAAGTAATCTGGAAGACTTCCAAGCACCGCTGACGCGAGGAAGATATGATAATGGAGCTATGTAGCAGGAGATGAAGAATCTGAGAGGCGACGAAGGGAGCACCGGGGGGAGCATCCAGCTGCTGAAGTCGTGAGGAACGGAGGATGGAAAAGGGATCGCGAGTAGCGCTACGAATAAGGCCAGGAAAAGGGAAGGAAAAGGAACTGGTTGGTTCAGCAACGGGTACAGGGAAAATGGTCCATTCACGTATGTATTGCCGCAAAAGCCTCGCCTCACCGAACCCTGGCCCTCGGGAACGAAGATCACTTCAAGATCTCGAGAACTTCTTTGGACCTATTGACTAAAGAGTCAGCACCCAAGTCTCACCCCTCGAAACAGCCTAGCACCCCGTCGACGTACCATATAAAGACATAGAAACATCGTTCAACCCACCTCGGCAACCTTGCTTATTGGATACGCTTCTTGCGCTATGGCTATTCTGCGTGCTACTGAAAGGATTGGAGGCTGATGGGGCTGTTGACCCAGACTCCATGGAGAGCCTGATGAGTGGAGGGAGAAGGCGAGCTCACCAAGCGCTCCAGTATCAATCGCGTCTCCGCCTGGCCAAGCACAAACAACGCGGGTCATTCATTTCAATAGGGTAGCTATCCGCAAATCCGGACGAAGAACGCGATATCTCCCTTGTCCGTTGTTGTCTGGTCGTACACTCCCACTCCACGTCATGCATGTCGCCTCGGTGTCACAGTCCTGCGAGATGCAAGGCCGGCAGCGATGGATGTATGGGCAGGCTTCTCTGACCTCTGCCGCCAAACACAACATTGTCGACTCCGTGTCGAGAACGCATGCGACGAGATTATCAGTAACAATCTCGGAGAGTCGAATATCACAAATCACTTGTTCATCGCAGCACATGTCGTTGGACACATCCATCCAGAGAAAGGACGACAGACGCAAGCAGCAGGGGCTCCTCGGCTGCCGTCGCACCCAGGTGGCTACATGAGACCCAAGCTTGACGACTCTTTCTGCAGGATCCGTATCCAGTCCGCGACGCTCCTCGTTCACCTTGCGCTTTCAAACTTCCACATCGTTCCCAACGAACCAGGGAGGACGTACGCCCTGCCCATCATATTTGACTATTGTTCCAATGAGAACCGTGTGTTCGAAAACGGGTAGCCCATTCGGGCCACGTGGAGTAGAAGTGCCGGAAGGTCTATGCTCTTTGCATCTCGCTGGCTTATTGGGAAGTCCCGTCCGCTGTTGAGAGCACTTGCACGCACTTGCATCCTTCTCTTCCCGCTCCCGCGGCGGAAGCGAGCACAGCCAGGTCGACGATTATGGATTCCCTTGTTCGTACCCCGCGTGCCGTCGGCTCTTTACGCTTGCATATGGACGGTCAACGGACAGTCGCGGGGTAGAAGCGACGGCTTCCTATTCGATAGGCGGAATATGCTGTAGTATTCGCGCTCACGACGTGCGCAATGAGCCTCTCGGCTTCTAACCAACGCTGAAATGTCTACGCGTCTACATTTCTGGGTCGTCCTTCCCGTCCCACGATCATTACAATGATTTCTATTACCTTCATGTTTCCCCGAATCTTTGTTGCCCTAGTTCTTATAACTTTGTCGTTCCATCTCTGCGCTGAGTATCTAACGAACGGTCTTTTTACTGCCTTCTGCTTTTGCTCCACATCCTGTTATACGAGTTTGACACCCACGTCGACACCTTACGACATCGTTTCTTGCAGATCATTCAGTTCTGACTTCTCGTATACCGAAAGACGAACTGTCCCTCTGCTGTCCACCACTAGCATCCCACGCAGGCTTGTGCTATTTCCCAGAGGGCTGCGACTCCTTCTACTACTACGGCGTCGAGTGGTGTAATTTATTATACGATTCATCTACCACATACATGTACTGTACGTAGACAGTTGCAACGACATGTATCATCGAAATGGCGCGGTAGGCTGGGAGCACTAAATAGGATGCAAGAGGCGCACGATCGTGGTTGGTTGAGTCTCATCCAGCGTTGCGCCAGTCCAAGTGGTACGAGTCGCTTCAGTGACTCAGGTGCGGTAGGATCTGCGGAACGGAAGTGAGGGTTATGATCCAGCTCCTTGCAAGTCTGAGTCCTCGACGTGCCGTGGAGATCTTGCGCTATGAGAAGCGACGGATAGTTGTGGCGGAGCCAGAGTTCGGGTTGATGACGGAGACAGAAGGACGGTCAAGGAAGCGCAGACGCTTACTCCACGATTCCAAAGCAAGACGACGCCTCAAACCAAGTGTCGAAAGGTGAGGTTCGCCGCTCCACCGACGCGTTATCCCCCCGCCAGCATCGCGGTACCACGATACCTCCACCGTTCTCCCCAATGAAACGCCGGTGTACCTTCAGAGGACTCCCTACTGACTCCGGGGGCAGCTGCTTGATCCCGTTTAGTCACTAGTCAGAGTGCATAAGGGTAACATACTAGCATTGCCCACGGAGCTCCTTCTCTCTCTGTGCTGATGATGTCTGTGGCTTAGCCTACAAGCACATTATCATGGGTTTAGAATCCACTCTCCAACCTTTTCCTTCCAGCCTTCCTCTGCTGCCAACATCGTCTCAAACTCCTCTACCGAGGGGAGGGCCAGCCGATCCCCAGCCCAATCCCCATGCATTCGGTCTTCCCACACCGTCAGCAGCGGAATCGCATCATCAAGCACATACCGCCCCGCACCATCCACCGCCCTCACGTACTCCCGTTTCGTATTATTGATCAACACCGAGTCAGCGAAACGCTGTGGCTCGATATGCCAGGGGCCACATCTATAGTAGAACTCCAGCACATAGGAGATGGCCGCGACGCGGTCCATCTCCGGTTTGCTAATCCCGCGTCGATACAAGTCGCTGACCGAAGAGTGGCTCACACGCCAAGATTTGATTTTCCTCTCCGAGTACATCAACTGACTTTCATCGTACAGGCCAAAAGTCTGGTCCTTGAACGCAGCGAGCCGGAGAGAAAGTGAATTTCCGTCGTGGTCTTCGCCAGCTGCTTCATCTGAAACATCGCCGTCGTCCTCGTCTGCTTCATCATCCCTATCACGCTTGATCGCGCTCTTCATAAGGCTGAATTTCTCCTCGTCGGACAAATATCCCTCGGGGAGGGTACTGGCGTAGTCGCCCAGACAGATGATACGACTGTCGCTCCAATCGTCTACGAACACGACACGACAGATTTTCTTCTTGATTACTTGCCACCCTATCACGAAGAGGTGCCCGTGGGTCAGGCCGAAGACAAGTCCCTCCTTGATGCTCAACGGAGTGAAGATCTGCGCAATGAGTTCGATGGGGAGCTGTCCCAATTGCCCGAGAGCAGCCCGGTCTGCTACGCCTGGCGCGTCGTATCTAGTCAGCCGGGAGTCAAGGGATTAGAACGTATTGAGATGAGGCCTGAGGGGGCGCAAGGCTTACTTGAAAATCTCCTTGAATGCCTTCTCGAGCGTGATCAACGGGGGTCGAGCTGCCAAAAGCAAGGCGGCACAATGCCCGTCGAATTCTCCAAATTTTCCACTTCCGGCAGTCTGGTACGTATCTATATTGATGCTATCATGAATGAATCAGTGACTGGACAACCATGTATTGAACGTGCGTACAATTTGAAGTATTGACCCATGAGTTGGAGTCGAAGAATCTGCGTGCGAAGAATATTGCTTGGTTCGGCATCACTGCGACCTCTTCCCACAATCACTCAACCACTCCTGAATCCCTCCTGAATTTATAGGAGCATGGAAGAAACAATCTTCTAAACGGCTTGCACGGCTAGTGGACTGTCATACAACAAGACAATGCTCTATACAGGTCTTTCATACAAGGTAGCATCATAACTGTCATGAACTGCGGGTAGTAGAATAAGTACCTTCAATCACTGATGAGATTGTACCCCAGCATCAGCACAGTGCATTCTCATGATAGTCCTGAGAAACTCACAGTGCCGTTTGTAGACATTCGCAAAGATACAAACAAGACTCGATTCCGATACTCATAGACCAAGCTCCAAGAGTCTTCGCCATGAGATATAAGTTACGCCTTGCAGACCTCCGATACTTGTAGTACAAGGATCCCGAACTCCTGGGAAGTCGATTCGGTGTTGAATTAAGCCTCGATCTAGCTCTTCCTTCTGTGTTCTTCTGCTCTAGATTCCAATAATCGGCGCTGAGCTCCGAAGCACGTCTTCGTAGGCCAAGAGTCGTGCAGCAAGATCCAAAAAGGTTTGTTTGATGTATTGTTTCCCTCTTTTTACCTGTTCTGTGGTCTCCTTCGCTTCCTTCCACCTTCCGCCTTCCGAGTAATAGCACACAAGCACGTTCTACGATGGATTGCCTACTGCGAGGTCAGAGCGCCATTTGTGTTCCTCGATGTCTAATTCGACATAAGAGAATATCCACACATCATCCAGCACCTTTTCAAAGGATAGGAATCACCCAGTTTGTGCAGTAGTAGTGCTGCGAGCGCAGTTCCCACTAAGAGAGAATAAATGAGCATCCAGAACGTGGACGCATACGCGACCGCGTGGAAGATAGACCACGTACCAATCGCATACAATATGTTTTTCTTCAAGGAGTATGGGCCTTGTAATGTGGCAAGGTCAGCTGCTGCCGCTGCGAAGGAGAAAGCACCAGGGATAGGACTCACAGGCATACATCGACTTTCTAACAATCGCGGTCATATGAGCATGGAGAACGACTCCTGCGGACGCACGTGGCTGTGGATATACTATGACTAGGCCTGTTAACGCGTTTGTTGAAGAAGGATGAGAGGAGACAGTCGCTCCCGACAGTGAGTGACGCACGGTCACAGGGACCCCTATATCTCGCCGAAAACATGCAAACACGCGACGACTAACTTTAGCTCATACCCTTCGATGTTCTCATCACGCACCGCCGATTCAGCTTCCCTGCATGTCCTGTATCTGGGATCCATCCACTCCAACATTCTCGGAGAAAGATTTGGGGATACACGTGCACCGCAATCATTAGGCGACATTCCGCGACTTCCACCGTATAGCGATGATCGCGGCGCATCGAACTCGAATGGTGAGCAGTTCGCGCAGTATTTGGAGGAGCTATCCATCTGGCTGATTCCTAGTCTCCTACATCGACGATCAACTATCCAACTTTCCCTCGTATCCTCAATTCCACTCTAGCTGTTTTTCGGGGTGATAGATGAACCACCATCAGCGATATTCTCCGGGCGAAATATCATGGATCACCATGGTCGGACTCGACTACTCAGGTTCACAAAGGTACCTATACCAATTTCAGAGTATGTATGTGGCTTACTGACTGCCAAATTTCAGCTTCGTCGCTGTTCGCCGTTATCGCCGTGACTCCCTCCGAACCAGAGAAGTGGAGGGAGTCGTTGATGAAGACTTGCTTCGTACGAATGCGAGACGAGGACAACGAAGACGAGGACACGAGATAGTACGCAAAGGCGCCTTCTACGTTGTGCTCACAAGTGCAGAGACCGGGAAAGAGACTCCTACGTATACGTCAATAATATGTCGACGTCAAAGGTATTCACACATCCTTTTCCAAGCGGTCGTCTCACCTACCACTGCACGCAGCCCACTGGGTGCGGATACTGGCCCCAGACCACCCCGCCACGTACGCTCAATCCCAATGAATCCCAGTTGCCAAATCACGTACTTAAGAACGGTTGCGTCATGGTCGATCTGCCTTGAACTCACGAGGTAGCAGACTGCAGATTCTTCAATTCCAACTAGGATCCCCTGTATATCGTATGGCTCCGCTTCGTTTTCCCCCTTAATAACCCTTTCAACGACGACCCCGGTATTCATTGCCACCGCTGAATCGCGCCATTCTCATCGCGCCAAAACGAAGTAAGCCGCTACCTACCATCGTCGCGCCACGGCATCACGGTGAAGTACTGCCCGTACGTGCTTCTTCGTGCCCTTTCCCGTACGGCTGCGCACCTTGAGCACACTGCGCAGGAATCGCAACAGGATCCCACACCTCCCGTCGTTCCATCCCCCACCCTCCACCCCTACATACGTTCCCCCGCCGTCCCTCGGCCGAGTCAGATCCGGGCTGCCGCCTCCTTCATCAGCGATATCGCACCCATGCACCCATGCACGCTGTGTCCTGGTCGCTTATCAGGTCGTCCCAGCCTCCCGCTCTCCATCTGTATCTCAAGCACCTACTCGTGCTCCGTGAATCCTGCATGCCTAAGCTTCGTGGGATGTAGGGATCGCGGGCCTGGGCACGTAGACGCAGAGGGCGCCGTACCCGTCTCTCTCGCAGCCACCGCGCCGCCGCGCCGCCACACCCCTGTAGGAGCAGGATTAATGTAAATGGCAAAACGGCGGCGACGATGAAGCAGCAGCCAGCAGCGGGAAGCCAGCGGAGCCAAAGATCACGGGTGCCTCGCTCGCACGGCGTCTTTTGCGTCTTTTGCGTCTTTCGCAGACGGACGGACGGCGGACACGTGCAGAGCTGCAGCTATCGCATACGCCGCCGTTCACTCGTGTCTGTGTGTCTACATTACCGTGTTACCGCATCACCCCATTACTGCATTACTGCATTACAGCATCGACGCATTACCACGCCGTCGCCGTCGTCGTCCCGCTGCGCACGAAAGGACTCCGATACGCAAACTCCATGTCCAAACCTTCACCCTCATATTTCCCCGCACGCCTTGTGGGCACGGCTACACTGCGCCTCGCTCGCACGCGTATCGAGCTCTAAGCCTTGTCACTCTCACTTTCACTGCCTTCTGCTTCTGCTTCTGCTTCTGCTTTTGCTTTTGCCTCTTGCCCAGCAAGTCCCCGTTCCAGATTCCACGATGGGGGTGCTACCCGCTCGTATTCAGCGTCCCACACGTTTCCTACCACATAACCCCTCCCCCCCTCCCCCCAATAGCCTCCACGCCCATCCAACCCTTCCCCGCACCGCTCCCAGCGCAGACGCAGACGCACATCACCCCGCCCCCTTGTGGTGTTCCCAAAGACCAGCAGTGCCGTGGCTACGTATCAGTCGCACTCCGCGCACGCTGAGCAGTGTTTTCACAGGCACGCTGCGTAGTATTTTCACAGGCAGGGGAGGGAATTCTGCTGCAACGCCTTCTAGATGTACATGCACTGTTTATGTTACCTATATTACGACGGCCTTGCCTACCCGTGCCCGGTGCCTACGTCTACCACCGCAACGGCGCCGTACGCCGAGACAACAGGACACGCGCGACGCGCTGGTCGATCGCACTTAACCAACGCCCCCGCGCCTGCTCGCAGATTCGCCAGCCGTCGCCTCGCCCATCGCCCCCGCTCGATCCCTGCAAAACGGGAAACGGACTTGACGAGTCCGCAACTGCCGCAACAAACAAGACAAACGACGCCGAGGGTTGGAGGTAGGGTGCGGAGGGCGTACGCGTAGCCGAAGATGAAGATGAAGTCGGGTTAGGGGGCTACGAGGCGCGTAGAAGCGGCGTTTAGGCGCAAGGCATTGGGCGACAATGGTGATGACGATGGGGATGAGATGACAAGGGCATGACAACGGCGAGAGGAGCACGGTCGAAGTCAGCAGAGCCGCACGGCAGCACATCGCAGAGCGTTCGAGCTCGAGCTGACGAGTAAAGCCTAGTAAGGGAGCGAGGGGTGCAGGCGCCGACTCTGCGATCGCACTGCGATCCTACTTCCATGAGCCACAAGCGACAAGGTCCGTATAGCATATCGCATATAACATACAGCATATAACATATAGTTTGTAGCTTATAGCACCACCTCTCACCTCTCACCTGCCACCTCTGCACCTACCCGATGCCTGCGCAAAGCATGCAGACGAGGGGATATGCGTGGACAGGGCTATCCATATCCATATCCATATCCACATCCATGTCCCTGTCCGTATCCGTGGGGTGGAGAAGCCTCACCCGCCTCTCTTGTGCGGCGTCGCGAGTGCGAAGGTGCAGGTGCAGTGTGTGGGTGCGTAGGTGCGGTAATGCATGCGCATGCCTATGGGGCGGGCGATACCAGGAGCGGGCGATACTAGCGAGAACGTAAACTCAGGCGAGAATCGAGAACCGACACTCAAGTGCGTGCGTGCTGGTGCTAGTGCTCGCCGGCACCGGTAACATACGCTGCGATGCGATACGATGCGCGGGGAGTATGAAACACACAGTTCGCAATACGAGATACGGAGAAAGTGGGCGCAGTCCGTGAGTTTACATGTAATCCGTGAATGTACACCCGCGGCTCAAGAGGGGGGATAGCGCAGGCGTGGTGATCGCTAAACAGCTTGCAGCTTCAGAGGATCATGGACGCCAACACGACTTGCGACTCCGAAGAGAGTATATATGCCTACGGTAGCGTGTGAGCGTGTGGTAGAGGTCGTTAGATGGCAGAGGGACGGCACAAGGCAAGAGGCAGGGGCAGGAGGGGAGGGGAGGTGCTGCATTGGGGACTAAGGCACGAGAGTAGGGATAGCGCCGTTGATGCGGGGAATATGATTTAGAATACTGGGACTAGGAGCGCGCGGGAGAGACGTCACGCCGACACCGCTAGAGTGAGACGCTTGCGAGAGCCAGAAGTCTGCAACGAGTCGGAAATTCAGATATTCGAGGTGAGGAACGGAGGACGGAGAAGGGGCGATAAATGGCGAGTAGGAGGACGAATATGTACAAAAAGAAGGGAAGGGAAATGGGAGGTAGAGAACTGGCAGGTATTGATAAGCGCATATAACGGCCGAAACTCGATGGACACGGCGACGGGACTACTTGGAAGAATTAACGCAGGTGGTGCGAGGGGGCGAGGAAGAGAGCCCGCTACGTATGTGCGCACCATGGAAGACCGACGGGGTGTCGAAGGAGTACGTACGAGGGCCAATCATTTGTACGGAACGGGACGCTTAAGTAGGAGGACCTCGGAGGGAGAGAGACTCACCGTGCACCGTGTACGACGTCTTTACCTGGAGAGCGGCGGGAGGGGCGAGGAAGGATAGCGCAAAGAGGGACATGCTGAAGAAGGGCGGGGGGCCAGGTGCAGGGTAGCGTCTGCGAATAGCCGGAGCAGCGCTGGTACGAATGGCAAAAGCTGTTGGAGGGACCGACAAAGCGGCGAGAGGATAGCATAGGCGGTTGGACTGGAGACTCACATTGCGATACAAGGAAGCTGGACATGTTAGCACCGAGCATATTGAGTATTGATGGTGTGGCAGAGTGCTGGCGGCCTTTGCGAGACGAGACGACGGCATTACGTTATGGCGGCGGGATGCGAGAGGGAAAAGAAACTCTTCTTATCAGAGGCTGCCGTCAGGAAAGAAGGGAGGTCGAAGGGTATGAAGGAGGCTCAAGACAACAGACGACGTACCTGTCGTGTTCCTCCGTCTAGGTCTTATCTTTTCTTTCGTGGAGACTTGCATTACCGAGAGTAGTAAGCAGAAGGAGGCGTCTCGATAGCGCCGGGCCGTTCCGGCCACTTGTCGCCAAATGATATGTTCCGTGCAGCGTAATTGTCCACGCCCAGAGCGCACGGCCAACTGAACTACCGCCACATGCGATGGATGTACCAGTACGTACATCAGTCGTTATTTCCTCGTAAGTGTCGGTGCTGATATGATACCGTTTTGCAGTTTATCGTCTCTGTATCGTAGACGTAGACGAACCCTGTGCGAGTTTTCGAGGAAATGTTACGACAGATGCTGTGATAGAGGCGCAAGGTGTTTCAGCGACAAGTGAGTTTAGTTTCTTCCCTCCACTCAACGACGAATACTCCAGTTTACCAGGTCTGCTAGCTCCCAACCCCAACGAGATCTACCGTTTGCACGTACCTGCACCCGAAGAAACCACGCGGGATCTCAACGAGAGCTTCAATCTTCACTCTATACATACGGCTGAACGCCGTGACGGGACCCCGCGTTGAGGTACGTAGACATCGGTTCAGTGACTTAGAGCGCGCGCCAATTTTTTCCTCGCAGTTCGACTGGCTATTCCGTAATCTGAACGTCAAGAGCGATGCCTCGTGGTGTGAATGGTGTTCTCGGATGACGGAGGGGTGGAGCGAGGCAGACTTTAGAGCTTTTACCGCTGTGAGGGCTTTCTCGGTGTTTGGTGAGTCTTATTTCAGCTTTCCACGCAGCGCTGGCCTAAAGCTCAGCCAAGACCGTGTCCACAGACGTGAATTGCTCTGCTTATCCCACGAACGGTGCCAGATTCGAAGCAGCATAAGGTAGGAATGTTTCTTGTTCACTGGCAGCTCAACGAACTAATTGCGGTGCTCCCATGTCTGTAGATTCCCTCCACGTAACAAGCCTACATGCCGCAAAAGGCGTTCGAAGAGCACTTGCTTCGCTGCCTTGCAAACACAATACTACATAAGGCCTTTCTTTCGCTTTTTCCAGATGAGTTTTAGTCGCTGCTTCCATTCCTTTGTAAAGCTACCAGGCCACTCTTCGCCGTCTTCGTCGCGCGCATCAATAGACTGATACACCGCTCCTCATTGTCGACATCAACGAGATGGACGGACTTGTGCCTACGGTAGTGAATCCACGGTGCCGGTGAGGAGTTGCCTCTTTCCTCTCCTTTTGATTTTTATTTTCACCATGTATCGTCTTATACCGGCACATCCATGGTCTTCATTTGCCTGGGTTGTTTCTGACGTCTTTTTTTCTGCAGTGATATTTTCCTTCAGATGGGCTTCTCCGTATACTCATGGTTCATAGACTTAGGCAGTAAGTCAGCTTATATTCTATCGTTCAGATCCCTCTGGTGTTAATATTTTCGCGCATTTCAGGCGGCAGAGTTCCATTCACTGGATACATCGGAGCGCCATGATTCATGCTCGAAGGCCGCAGCAGTGCAGTGTAACGTATAGTCGCTTGCCGAGCCCAAGATCGGCCGTGGCCCTATTTTGTGTTGGAATTATTTACTATATTAGGGTTTGAGCTACTCGAAGCTCCAGTCGAGTTGTCAAACACTTATTAGTATACATGATAAATTCTACTATTTTAGTGTACAGTCTTTGTATATAATAGGGTATATTTGGTAGTGTAATAACTACTCGATTGACCAGGAATACCCCGAGTCCGTCTGAATTCCGCTGGACCCCTTTCCGGCTTATCGAGCCCCCACCGAATTCTTACATTTTGCATACATACGTTGCAAGTCAACCGTACCCGGCACTCTGGCGTTGTATGAGTCTGTAATAGATCCAATGAGACTTATTTCCGCCTTTCCTTCGGGCTGCGTAGAAGTTTTTACCCACCTCGAGGCTGTCCCGACTGCCTATTGTTGGCAACACACTTTCCACCGCAACGAAAATTCAAAAAATACTGCACCAACAAATGGCGCTGTGGTAGATGGGTGGTAGGATTAGAAGAGATAATTTTGGTAATGTTGAACCTTCAGTGTACCGACCGACCGACGGTTCAATGGAGAATGATCGCATTGAGAAAAGGGCAAGTGTTGTGGATTTGCGGGCTGCGTTGGTTAGTCTGGGTGGATCTGCGCCGCAGATCAGCAGTGCACAGACCAGGTTAGCTGTCAGCTGCGCCTGTGCACGGGCCTTTTCACGTTGGTTGGGAACCAAACAAAGTATTCCCCTCCTCCTCCTCCTCGACCCTCTCTCCATGTTGCCGCCGTGCTCATCCCGCGATGAGATCGTTAGGCGCTTTTACATTGAAAAAAGATCCAAACTGGACGGAGGGTGTTTTTTTCTTTGAAAGCTGGTACGTGTCGCATCTTCTTCTTTCCCTCTCCCCGCCACGAATTCGACGACATCCTCGCCACCCACTGTGTGCCGGCAACCGCCTTCTGATTTTGCCTCCTCGACCTGCGCTGTCATTCGCCGACGAGCAGTACTTCTTGATGAGGAGAGCATCCCGTCGCCCTAACGTAATGCCTGCCAGCGAATATGCCATGCGCCTGCTGGCTCTTATCATCTCCTTACATCTTGAGGTGAGTCTGCGTTCCAACCGCCCATGCTATACCCTCGCCGCTTTGTCGCCGCTTTGACCCTTTTGTTCCTCCCCTACTCGTCATTCCTTTTCCACATTGCGCGAATTGCCGACTCCTCGGGAATTCGCCGGCCCTTCGTGGATGCCTCACTTCACCACCGGGACACTCTTCTGTGTGCTCTCCCGCGCCTCCCAGGGTCTTCGTCTTTCCCTTCTCCCGATAGTTTATCTTCGTCGCCTCAACTGCGCTCGGCGCCAGCCTGACGGATTACTCTTAATCGTAGGACCTATGGCGCATCTTACCCATACATACCGTCCTTGGGGTCGCTGTTGGCTCCATTTCTCCCGAGCTGTATGCGTGGGGCCCGACCGATAGTGTTTTGTTATCCTCCCCTCTCCGTATCAGACGGTCGCGCCGCTTTCACCATTCTCCCCTTCATAATGCGAGCGTAACTTCGCAGAGTACTATCCACTGTCTTCCTATTACTCGTCCATCGTGTGGTAAGTGTGAGGCCCGAGTTTCCGCCGTGTTGCCTGTTCCATACACAGAGATTCGAGCCTCTGTGACATCTAAGGATCGCGCGACACTGCAACGAGAGCACTCGTAACGCGGCCAAGGATCTGCGGAACGGAAGTGAGGGTTATGATCAAGCCCCCTGCGAGTCTGAGTACTCGACGTGCGGTGGAGATCTTGCGCCAAGAGGAGCGTTCTACGAAGCTATGAGAAGCGGCGGAGAAGCACGGTCCAAGAAGCGCACACGCTTACTCCACGATCCCAGAGCAAGACGACGCCTCGAAACAAGTTCCGAAAGGAGCATCACCTGCGTGACTCCTCGATGATTCTGCAAAACCATGGAGGGATCTAACGATGCGACTGGCACTTAGTTATGCTACTGCTCCTGAGTCGCTGAGGCGATGGGTACCACCTGGACTGGCACAACGTTGGTTGAGACTCAACCAACCACGATCGTGCGCCTCCTGCATCCTATTCAGTGCTCCCAGCCTACCGCGCCATTGCGATGATACACGTCGTCGCAACTGTCTGCGTACAGTACATGTATGTGGTAGATGAACCGTATAATAAATTACACGACTTGACGCCGTAGTAGTAGAAGGAGTCGCAGCCCTCTGGGGAAATAGCACAAGCCTGCGTGGGATGCTGATGGTGGACAGCAAAGGGACAGTTCGTCTTTCGGTATACAAGGAGTCAAAACGGAATGAATGGTCTGCAGGAAACCGTGTCGTAAGGTGTCGACGTGGGTGTCAAACTCGTATAACAGGATGCGGAGGAAAAGCAGAAGGCAGTAAAAAGACCGTTCGTTAGATACACAGCGCAGAGAAGGAACGAAGAAGTTATAAGTACTAGTGGCAAAGATTCGAGGAAAATGAAGGTAATGGAAATCATTGTAATGATCGTGGGACGGGAAGGACGGGAAGGACGACCCAGAAATGTAGACGCGTAGACATTTTCAGCGTTGGCTAGAAGCCGAGACGCTCATTGCGCACGTCGTGAGCGCGAATACTACGACATATTCCGCCAATTGAGGAGGAAGCCGTCGCTTCCTACCCCGCAAGTGTCCGTTGACCGTACATATGCAAGCGTAAAGAGCCGACGGCACGCGGGGTACGAACAAGGGAATCCATAATCGTCGACCCTGGCTGTGCTCGCTTCCGCCGCGGCAGCAGGAAGAGAAGGATGCAAGTGCGTGCAAGTGCTCTCAACAGCGGACGGGACTTCCCAATAAGCCAGCGAGATGCAGAGAGAATGGAGCTTCCCGTCACTTCAACCGCAGGAGTCTCCACTTGGCCCAAATGGGCTACCCGTTTTTGAACACACGGTTCTCAGTGGAACAATAGTCAAAGATGATGGGGAGGGCGTACGTCCTCCCTGGTTCGTTGGGAACGATGTGGAAGTTCGAAAGCGCAAGGTGAAGGAGAAGCGTCGCGGACTGGATACGGATCCTGCAGAAAGCTTGGGTCTCATGTAGCCACCTGGGTGCGACGGCAGCCGAGGAGCTGCTGCTGCTTGCGTCTGTCGTCCTTTCTCTGGATGGATGTGTCCAACGACATGCGCTGCAATGAACAAGTGATTTGTGATATTCGACTCTCCGAGGTTGTTACTGATAATCTCGTCGCATGCGTTCTCGCCACGGAGTCGACGATGTTGTGTTTGGCGGCAGAGGTAGGAGAAGCCTGCCCATACATCCATCGCTGCCGGCCTTGCATCTTGCAGGACTGTGACACCGAGGCGACATGCATGACGTGGAGTGGGAGTCTACGACCCGACAACAACGGACAAGGGAGATATCGCGTTCTTCATCCGGATTTGCGGATAGTCGCACAAGGAAGATGTCAGGCGCGTAGCTCAGCATTCGGAAGCGGGGTGATGGTGGTGGTGGTTCGACATGGGGATACACCACACTAAGGACATAAAAATTGACGAAGAACGAGACGAGACAATTGTGTCCCCCACGCCTGCGTACACCAGCCTAAGATCAAGGGAGGCGGGTGCCGGAGAGGGTATGCGTCGACTTGGAGATATCGAGAGCCCACGGGGTCTTATAGCATCACCTCTACACCTTGGCGCTGCCATCGCACATTGCCGGCGTTTTAGATGGCAAGCCCGCCGGGCGACGCGCCTGGTGACAGGAGTTATCTGGGGCGATCTGTGGGGGAGCGGGATACGGTGCGCTAAAGGTCGATTTCCGTCACTACTAGCTGCACCCTTGAATGTTGTACAGGGTTTGAAAACGGGGACGCATTGGAGAGCAGCATCTACTGCGTTCCAGGTATATTGAGATAAGAGTGTGGAAAGAACGTGGGATGACATACGACAGAAACACGATGCTTCAACTCCCTGCGATGATTGCCTAGAGCTGTACGGGCTGCCGAAAGTCGCCCAACGGTAAGGATCGTATACCAATGCATTGAGCTTCGGGATATATGCAGAAGAGGAGATGCCGCGGGATGTCGGAGTGACAACGTCGAGATTGGCTCTATGGGACGATGAATCGAGGACAACAAGAGGTGGAGCGAGGGCCGGGTGCAAACCATAGGTTGTAACATTGAGAAACTATTGAACGGTCAGATAATGATGTATTGAGGTTCGCTAGTGATAATATTGTAAATGAACACGAGGAGAACACGGCATACTGATTGAATTACGAACGTGTTGATGGTCCCATTCATCTGACAGACTAGTTGCCGCTGGGAAGTGCAAGGAAGTAAACAGTTGAAAACGGAGAGGCCTCGGGGTAGATCCACTCGCTGTACGAATGAGGCTGCTTTGATGGCTGCAAGATGTTTTGCTCGTCGAAGCGGTCACTTGTATCCAACGCGATGGTACCCTCCTTGATTTTCATACATGAGGAAGTCGCCTGGTGTGATTGAAAACTTGGTGGCGGCGTACAAGACATGGCAAATCGAAACACACGTACCCCATATTCCCAGTACCCTGCTTCCATAAAAGTGATCGGGTTCGTGAATGTTCATGTTCCAACCTCCATTGTTTTGAGGCTTTTGATCTCATGTGGTCCGATGTGTGCATTAATGCCTACAAGGATTAGATACGAGGAGAATTCGAAGCTGTAGGACTCAGCTCTTCCATGGCATTGAAAAGAAGCCGATGTGTCACGGAGCGTCACACATGTGGATGCCTTACCCGGGTGCGAACCTGGCGCTCATGCTCAATCTCGCATGTTCAAAGCAACATTGTAGTTCATCCGTATGGATACAAGGTGTCGAATCTGGTGTCCGAGAGTACCCTTCTGCCAGAAGCATGTCCAGAGGCATGGCAGAAGCGTGGTAGAAGCGTCTTCAAGATTTTGCCTGCGAAAGGCGTGGCTATATGGACGACTTGAGTCGTGTCAATGCATCGAGTGGCCTCATATCATTGTGGCAGGTCACATCAATCATTGGCGTCTCTGGATCCCTCTCTCATCAGATTGCAACTCTTGTCGCATTCCTTTCGCCATCCTCGTGTCTGGAGACCATGTTGTGTGTATTAACCACGCCCATTATGTTCACCCCGTGCATGTGCACATTGCTATTTAGGTGTATGACCGCCTGTACAGAACGCGCAATAACACTCCCCCGCAATGTCCTCCACTCCTCCATCACCGCAAGCGTTGAATCCGACCCTCCAAGGCGAACCAAGCACAATCACCCAGCAGGCATCAACTCAAATTCGGGCGACATGTACTCACAGCCGCGACGGAAGGATCATAGTGCTCTGCGCAGATGGCACGGCAAATAAATTCGGAGAGAAGGTGAGTGAAGCTTGATGTGCAATTCAATTGCTGAACTAGCATTCTCAGAGCACAAACGTCGTCGAATTCCTCAGCCGCATCGTCAAGAACAAGAAGCAAAGTACATTTTACATCAGTGGTATTGGCACGCACAATCCGTCACCCGTAGGCCGCATACTTGACATGGCCTTTGCGAAGTGAGTTCATGAATGTTCATCTACTCTAGTCATACTGACGTGGTCCCTGATAGTTCATTTGAAACGAATATTCTGATAGCATACAAGTGGCTGGCAGAGAATTACGAGGAAGGGGACCGGATATTCATGTTTGGTAAGTTTCAAGCGCGACGCTTTGGCGAGTGATCGCAAGGAATAACCAACTATAGGCTTCTCTCGTGGGGCATACCAAGTACGGGTCATAGCGGGAATGATTGAGCAGGTAAGATAAAAGGTACGCTCGGGAATTGAGCGTTAACGCTGTCATAGGTCGGGCTTATCTACCCGGGGAATACTACTCAACTTCCGGAGTACGTACTTCACGCACTTCGAAGGCTACATAAACTGAATCTCTACAGTGTGTACAAGCTATACATGTCGACCACGGACAGATCAAGTGGAAAGGGGAGCAAAGAGCGTACAGAGGCGATCGAACTGTGTGAGACATTCAAATCCGCCTTCTCATGGCCGAACGTCAAAGTCCATTTTGTGGGCGTGTGGTGAGCTCGTTCAAACTCATTCGTCAAAAATGCTAAACGTAGGGATCAGGGATACCGTCGCCTCTGTTGGGATTACAATGAGGGATAGCTTGCCAGAGACCATACATGGAATGACTCATGTATGCCATTTCCGCCACGCCCTTGCGCTTGACGAGAAAAGGGTCAAATTCCTGCCCGAATATGCGAGTGGTTCAAAGTTCTCCAACGCGAATGATTCCAGAACTTCTGGTGACGTCAAAGAGGTTTGGTTTGCGGGCAGCCATTCGGATATGTAAGAATCCACCTTTTGACTGGAACCGACTAGACTAATACCACGATTTAAGCGGCGGCGGTAATGTCATCAATCGAAAGTTGAAAACATTTGGTCCTGCCCTTCGGTGGATGACATACGAAGCCATGAGCCACGGGCTTCAGATGCATCCATATAGCGGTAAATGGGTGGCCCCAAATCCAACCCGGTCGCTCAAAGCAGCATGGCCTGTGGTTGAGTTGCTGCCCTTGCATCATCCATCGTACCGAAACGGTGAGGTTACACGGATGTGAGTTGGCTCCTCCTCTGACAGACATATCTTACTTGTGCTTATAGACCCCACCTTGGTATGCCTCGTCGCATCCAAGAGAACCAGCGAATCCACGAGTCTGTTTTCATGCTCATGGGAATCCACAAAGAAGTAGTAGCCCTACTTGACAAAAAAGGTGTTGAGGAAGAATCTCATCACACCAGCACGTCCGGGACAACCTCCTCCACTCCAAGAACGAGTTTCATCCATGGTCTCATCTGGCTAGTTATGGCAATTCTGGCGGGGCTTTGGACAATACTCTGTTCACCTGGCGGCGGTGCACCACTGTACCTTCGTCCTGGATCAGGTTCTCTCAATAGGAACTCAGAAGGCCAGCAATTCATGATGATTATAGCTGAAATCTGGAACTCAGCCTCCACCACAATGCTCCATTATCTCTATGATATCAGTCGTTGCATTGTCCCACTCAGAGGTGACCCTCAGACTCAAATGCCTATCAATCGCAAAACACCATATGTACCATATGGAGCACTTGCTAAAGGCGGCTCTTGGGACAATTACGCGCTTCTTGCAAAACTGATTGAGCATGATCCATTCACAGATCTCGAGTCAATTATTTCAAGGATTGATGATGCAACAGTGACAGAGGACCTAGAACGATTTCAGTCGGAAGTGGATGTACTTGCAACAAGCATTTCCTCAGGTTATACCTCATCTATTGCCCGATCCATGTGACTTACCCCGATATCAGGTAGCAATGAAACACTTGGGCAGCTTACCGAGGTTTTCGGTGCATTGCCGAAGTTGTTATCAGCGCTCAAATTCATGGCGGCTCCACGTTCAGAAGATGTTCGCAACTCTGTCATTCTCACCCTTTTCTCGGCATTGGCTTCGTTGCCTCCGGATTCAGCCCACAAGGTTCCATTATCCACATTCCGCAACATTGCCTACAAACTCAACGAAATCTCCAAGTCTGAAATTCACTCAAAACTACTCGCAGCTCTTCGTCATGCTGGTAAGATTGGCAACAGGCCCAAAAGTGATCTATGCTCAATTATTGTTGTATAGATCTGCTCCTAGCCCAGTATGATCTACACAAAGGCAACACTGTCAAGGCTGTTGCAATACCAGCTACTGACAAAGTCCTATCTGCATCGTACCGGGCAGTGATAGTTCAGACCAATGGTACTGAGAGATCCATTGACATGGAGGATGAATTTCTTGTCGCATTCCAAGCCAATGGATCAAAGTTCGCAACAGGAGACAAACATGGCAATGTCACAATATGGGATGTCGAATCAGGGAAGAAGCTACAGACTTTGGAAGGTCCCTCTGGCACTATTTCCTCTTTGGCTTTCTCACCAGATGGCAGCAAGATTGCAGTGGGATCAGAAGATGGTACAATTCGAGTATGGGATATGGAGACGGGACAAGATCTGTTTGGTGCGATGGAAGGACACACCCACCGGGTCTTGGGATTGGCTTTCTCCCCTGATGGAACTCGCCTAGCATCTGGGTCCATCTACAGTACTGTTCGGCTGTGGGATGAAGCGGGGAAGTCCAACGTGCTTGAAGGGCACAATGGTCTAGTATTGTCTGTTGCATTTTCAAAAGACCACATCATTTCTGGCTCATGGGACAAGACAATACGAGTATGGAATGCCGATTCTGGTGATTTGGTGAGAGTTCTACACGGGCACACTGAGTGGATCTTTTGCATGGCCTTCTCACCGGACTTCAAACATGTCGCCTCGGGCTCCGACAATGGTACTGCGCGTCTGTGGGATGTATCTTCTGGGGAAGTATTGGCCATCTATGATATTGGAGATTGGGTGAAGTCTATTGCTTTTTCTTTTGATGGGAAGCAGATTGTGACAGGTTCATGGCGGGGCAAAGTAGTGTAGTAGTAAATGTACGCGTAGACTAGTATAGTAGTCTAGTAAAATGCGAGGGTCCGCCTCCGGCAGGACAAGTCCGTGCGACACCCGCGTGAGTAAAGTATGATAAGGATGAGTCCGAGAGTGAAAACAAACAACTGAGAAACTTCGGACGCTTCGGACGGCTTCGGATGGCTTCGGATGGCTTCGGACGCGCTCGGACGCGGACAGACAACTTGGCTTCGGATAGTACGACGAGGACGGCAGGAGAATGACAAGGACGGCAGGAGAAAGCAACTTCGGATCGGACTCGGGCTCGGACTCGGACAGCGGCAGACTCTGACAACGGATGAGAAGAAAGGTTCGGACGGCTTAGAATCTGACTCGATGTGGGGGGGGAACAAATCTGATCTTTCTAACTACGAGTACAGGATGCTTTTGTAGCTAGGAAAATGTCAGAAGAAGGAAAAGTCCGAAACGAAAAAGGCACCAGGAACGAATAATGGTGCTAGTATAGTCCAGGTATTAGAGTCCGGGAACAAAAGAAATACACGACATTGATCCGCGCTGTCTGATCCGATATCACGTGTGTCCGGTACCGGTTCGTGACGTCCGAGTCATGTGCGAGTGCGTCCGAGGAGTCGGAGAGGGGTCGCCAGGGGATAGGGGAAGTCGGAGTGCACGGAACGAAAGGGTACAACCCTTACAGTAGATATTTGGAATGCCCATGTATTATTGTAGCTTTTTCGGATGCTCGTAGCATGTCTGGTACTCAGCCATATTGTACAATACTCATTCCCGAGTAAACTTATTTCAATCCGGAGAAATGGTCGCAGACATCGGTTATTCATCCTCTAATTTCGAGAGGATACTAATAGTGAGCAATTATGCATACAGGACAGACACTGAGGAATCATAACGAATGAAATAAAAGCGACATCGGAAGAGCGAGCACAGGGCAGTGTTCTCCACGTTCAAATCGGTGTAGCAAGACTGGAATGCGAGAAGGCCGAAGCTGCCAAAAAGAATATAGTAGGTGATAAGTACGCAGCACGACAGGAAAGTGATGACTGCATGTCCTCGAGCAAGGTGAAGGGTAGTCCTTGGTGATACATCAGTAATGCGGCCGTATGTGCGACCAATACCCACCTCGTGAGAGAAAGCGACAGTGAGGAGTCAAATAGTGTCCTGTAGCGAGACGGCTACTTAGCGCGATTCCAACGACGGTAGGTCGAGTAGATGCCTACCTGATTTGACACGACCAGAGTGCAACGTTCGGGGGTGATAATGAACAGTAGGGTCGAGATTGAGCATCGAGTGCGGAAATGAAGCATAGCTGCATGGTATACACAGGGCGCTCATTGGGGTGGATCATTCAGTAATTCGTCAAAGTTTTGCAACGGGGCGTGGATTGCATGCAGGTCGCGTGCGAGGAATGCGGGGTCGTGGCGAAGTGGTGACTCGTGAGAGGGTCCGAAGCGGGAACCTAGCCGCGGTAGGATGGAATTGATCGAGTCTATAAGCTAGTAGCTCATGAGATCCAGGGGAATCGACTAGAAGGCAACCATTCTCACCTCATGGAAACAAAAAGTCGAGACTTGTGGGGAGTGAGCATGGATTCAAAAGCAGTCTGACCCCATCTTTCGCCGTGACTGAGTTGTGTGATGATAAGGTGACGCGAAGGGCTGGTAGAAAGGCCCGCGAGGAGCTCCGAGGCCAACCCACTATCGATGTAGATGAATGGCGGAGGGTTTGGCTGGGATTTCATGACGGCGTAAAGCGGGAGTGTCTGGCGAGGCCTCTGCGTTCAAGGGGGCAAGGTACCTTGGCATCCTATGTCGTTATCTCGTCGTCTTGATCTCGGGGTCGTACAAAACGACGCTTCATCGGTATTGGTGAGCGCATAGACCCACCCACATTAGGCATACATGCCGGTAACGGTGACAAGCGGCAGTGCTGAATGAGGGAATTCTGTAAGTTGCGTAGTAAATCCGATAAAGCGGTAGTAATACCTTCGTTAAAAAGAGTGTCAGAGTGCCCGGGGAATGAATGCTTGATGCGCAGGTGATTGAGGAAGCCTTCTGGGACTTCAATCATATTGATCGACAATTTATCGGCGGGAGAAGGTTGCTATTACCCCAAAAGCAGCGAAACTTGAACCGAGGATGTCAACAAATGTTGAGTACTCGATATCCTTTATCCTGACGCCTTCAAGAGGACGTTGCCGACGATAGAGGTGCACAAGAAGGGTAAGGTTGTTGATAGAGGATTCTGAGAAGCGATGAAGAGAAGAACTCCCAACAAAGCTGCATAAGCTGCTCACCGTTGATTTTGATTGGATTGGATTTACTGCGATCATCGTCGATACAATGGAGGCCTGTCGCCATCGTATCCTCATTTTCTGTACTATGCGTACCGTTGGAAGTGGATGGTAGAGCGTCTTGGTTATGAAAGAAACTGAATCGGCGTTGGAGCAGTAGGAGAACACCTGGTTACTCAGCGCCTATGTTGAGCATGGCATAGGGGCTCCGCGTGATCATGCGTTACTTCTCCATCCTTATTCAACGACGCGTCAACAATCCGCAAGCCCAAGGAGTAGTAGAGATATCGAGGAAGTTTCACTTGCCGTACGCCCTCTGCCGTTTTCTGGGGTGTCGGACCCCGACCAGCCGTCTGCAGATTGCGCAAGCCATTCTACATGGCTCTTCTACGAAAACAAAGAGGGCGCAACGTCATTGATACCCACCAGGCTACAATATGCAACTTCAATGCATCATGAGGACGCGTCACCCACGTATGAGGTTCTCCCCCGCTGCCCATTCTAGATTCCAGCGATAGCTCTCACCCAGGACATCGTGCCTCCGTCAACTGGGACTAGGCAAATGGATATGGATGGGGTTCTATGGTATTTCCGTGATTGTGAGTCTCCACTTCCGCTGGTATCTTCTTTGCCAACCACGTACAACGTACATTCCACCTCAAGGCCCGTCTTTCGTGTCGAAGCAAACGGCAGCCACCCAGAGTCGGAATATCCCGTACTCGCCCCGACTATCGTCGTGTGGATCCAACCCTTTCGCGCCCCCTCCCCACATTGCTCACTGGGCACACGTGCATGCAGCGACTTTTCTTCCAACTCCCGCACTCTCTGCTCTTTTCCCCTCTCCTCTTCTCACAGCACACGCAGGCCATGGCACTCGACGTCCGTCTCCAGTAAGTATTCCCGCCGCCAGGTCATCGCGCTTCCGTGCTCCTTCACCTGCGTGCCCTGAAAATTGCCTTGAGGCACACCGACTCACGCATTCGCTTGCTAAGCCTCGGTGGATTGACCGAGTACCGCTGGGTGCGAGATTGACGGGGTTCGACGGGAGTATCGTTTATTGACCACTCAGCTCAGATCACAGTACGGCTCGCCCTCCCCCCCTCTGCAATCAACCAGTGAGTAAAACCTCATTTTCCCCGTTCTCCATTTAATTCCCGCCAACTCCCTATAGCCCGGACTGAGGAGCGCCGTGCCCCACCCTTTTCCCTACGACTGTGATCACCGGGACCGGCGTGTTCTCAGGCGTGCGCATACGGCATGTTGGTGCTGACTTGTCTTAGGAACCCTCGCAGTGCATCCCCCTGTGAATGATGCAGTCCCCGATCTCGGGCCAGCGAAGATATCTCAAACGGCGGTATAAAAAGACTCTGTGGCGGCTCTCCGATGTTTTCCGTTCGCGTTGACCCGATTTAGATCAATGTCAGATCCCAGTAGAGACGTTGTATTACCAACCCACTCTGGAACGGTCGCCGTTGGACGCTCGGAGGATCTAATGTGAAGTCGTGGATAGGAAGCGGCTCACAATTTCATGACACACGTCGTGCGGTCTTCCTCCTTCACTTGGAGTTTCTCTTTCCCCCGTTCCTCTACAATCCGCCCCTGTACTCCTAGGCCATGCACATCCATCTACGCACAACGCGCACTAATCGTCGTATAACAGCTGCGGACGTTGATAAATATATATGATACATCACAATGCAGAAGCTAGTGTGAAGTACGATGAGGAAACAAATCGGCGTGCTCGTGCGCCGCTTTTCTCGCCGTGGTCCCATTTCATAGCTCCAGAGACCAGGCGCACCAGAGCTGCGTGTAACGCAGTCGAATTAGCCCTCAACGGGAGACTTGCCTAGCTCTGGACACCCCACATTCTCAACCGCTGCCCAGCTGCAACCGCCCACCCAACTCTGCACTACGACCATGCGTCGAGCTATAATTGATATGATATCGAGAATTATTGGGCGGGGTGTGGTGTCTATTACAGCGGGGAGCGTACCTCCGGTAATTCGGAGAACCGCACGTGGGGTCACTGAATGCCCTACCCTATAGTGCCTATAGCGGGGAGTCAGTATAAATACTGATATTGGAGAGACTGATGTCAAACACCGTACGCGGTCTCGTAGACAGTTTCCAACCACAACCATAGGATTACCGTTAGTGCGAATCTGGCGGACTGCGGTACCCTATTCAAGTCCCTGGGGAATCGGTGCCACGGAAAGGCATCTGCGCACAACGCACAACGCACAGCGCACAGCGCATAACGAAAGTGACATTTTGTGATTTTATGAGTCCCCCGGTTCTGTGGTGTCGCAGGGCGCGACTAGACAGGGCGGTGACGGATGCGAAAGCGAGTCGGCTAGATTGTGCGTGCAGCGACTGCAAGCCGCTTTGCATCACTCTGCATGAGGCCTACGTCCTCAATTCGCAAAGACGGAGAAACGGCTCGCCTTGCACGTGTATGTCTGCCCCCGCCCCATGATCCATTGTCCATTGTCCATCGTCCGATCCGCGCCCGCCTTCCACCTTATTACTGCTTTTCGAATATCAGTCAGCTACGTCGCGCCGCGCCGCGCCGAAGCGAAGGTATTGGTATCATTCAGTCAGTCACAGGGATCGGATTCAAGACGCACCGGTATGAGATCTTTGTACTCACCCCGATCTTGTCATGGGTCCCAGGGCGAAGAGAACCCAATGGGTGCCTGTTCGAGCG